TTATTTTAACGTCTTCTGTGCTTGGTTCTAGGAAATTAGGGAGAAGAGTGGAGGAATTCTTGGTGTGCAAGAGGCAGGTGGAAGCAGTGCAGGTACCTTAGAGAAGAAGGGGAATGGGATATGTAAGTTACAGTTAAGAACATAGGATAGCTGCTCTACAGACAGTGGCTGTATTGTAAAGGGCAAGTCTGCTGCTTATACTTATTACTGTATTTTTATCAGTAATAATTCTGTGCTATTCTAATTTAAAAGCACAGATTCTGCTAATGCTACAGAGTGAAAGTTGTCACACTCCATGATGTTTGTTCCAAAAAACCCCTGAACCAAACCAAAAACCACACCCTCCCCAAAAAACCCCCAACCTCTGATGGTGAAAAATAGCGTGGTTTGAATAGTATGTTAAATTAAGTGGGTAGCTACGCACTAAATGTTTAATTGTGGCCTTCCCTTTCAGTGATAACTTAGCAACATCATTTTTTTTTCAAGAATATTTTTTTAAGTGTAAAAATGAAGGTGATAGGAGAGTGCAAGCTGGGCATGGAAGGTGGATACTTGTTTCGAAGAAACATAAATAAAACTGAAGAACTGTAAAGTCAAGTAAATGGAAAAAGTGTTCCCCACAAGGCAAAATCAGACTGGTAAACTTGTATGCATGGAATGTTAAGGCAAAAAAATTAACAAAACTTAATGCATCTGGAAGAAGGACTTTGGTTTATTCTTTGTTGGGTTTGTTTTTTTAAACCACAGGCCATTACAGTATGGGCGATGTTGTAGTGCTAACAGTAAAATAGCCATTTATCTTACGGTAGAATGAAGAGGGAAGGAGAGGGTGCAAGTGTGGCTTGCAACGGTGCGTTTAAATCTGCATATTTTGTGTAAGCTTTTCAACAGAATCTTCATTGCATGAACCGACTCTCTGAGATGAAAAGTTTCATTTGTAATAGAGAAGCAGTTATCTCTTCATATGGATGGCATTCATCCCAGGACATTTCTTTTTCTCACCAGTATATTTCCAGCTTCTATATTTTGATATAGCAAATGAGATAATAAGCATACAAAAATAGTTGCAAAAATTTCTTCTCGTCCTGGGATTTTTTTTAATCTTAATATTTCCTATTTTTTCAGCTTCATGTTGAACATGAGCCTTGTTATGATCAGTGAGAATGTAAAGCTGGCCCGTGAATATGCCTTACTGGGAAATTATGACTCTGCGATGGTCTACTACCAGGGAGTTCTTGACCAGATGAATAAGTACCTCTACTCTGTCAGAGATACGTATCTGCAACAGAAGTGGCAACAGGTGAATAATACTTTTTCTGTGACATTTTGAGGGAAAAGCATTGAAGGAGCAAAAATTGCCTATCTTACGGTAAACAGAAGTATCAAAATACTTTCACCATTCTTTGATAAACTGTAGTGCTGTTTATATATAGGGTTTTTGTTATTATATAGACTTATTTAAGTCGTCTTTATGACTTCTTGCTCTGACAGTGACGAAACAGGCAATGGATGGCAGCCCTGGGGAGCCAGTGCTTTGTCTGGCTTGTCAGCTTCTTGCTGAAGAGTGCCCTTGTTATGCTGAAGTTTTTTAGGCTGGTGTAATTTTGAATAGTCATCTTTCCCTCACGGGTTTTGGTAGTGTGACTTACAGATCCTTAGCAGAAACTGAGTTGTGGCTACCATGTTAATTTATCCTTAACACAAACCACCATTTCACTGACTTTCAGTCTGTTAGCTTGCACTCTCTTCTGTCGTGTTTGCTTAATATGCAAAGCTTGTCAAAAATCTCTTTGGTGTTAAATCCAAAATCTATTTGTTTGTTCTTTAAATGTGCTGAGGGAGGCCGAAAACCCTTCTTAGTATCTGAAGTGTGTTATTCTTACCTGTTGAAGTAGCATCGGGTAGCCTGTGGAATCCATCCAGGCATTACAAGGGCTTGACCAGAGGGACTGCTGTGAGCTTACTTGCAATGTGCTTAATCTACTTTTTTTTTTTTTTAAATCAGGTTTGGCAGGAGATAAGCGTGGAAGCTAAGCATGTGAAAGATATAATGAAAACACTAGAGAGTTTTAAACTAGACAGTACTCCATTGAAAGCTTCGCAACAAGAATTACCAGCTCACGATGCAGAAGTCTGGTCTTTGCCAGTACCTGCTGAAGGTAGGTAAGAGGAAACCTGAAGGCCCAAATTAATGTTTGTCAGGGCAAAGTGTGATTTCACTTCATCCCATTCCTCTACATTTTTTGTTCTAGGACTTAGATAAGTAGCACACCAGCAGCTTGCCGGTTTGTGGTGAAGGAGATGCCACTTTGAGGCAGCCTTCTTCCAAACATTTTGGGGCTTTTATCTTCTATAGGCTTGACTAATGTCAGGCTGCCTTTTTTCAAATTAATGTTTGTCAGGGCAAAGTGTGATTTCACTTCATCCCATTCCTCTACATTTTTTGTTCTAGGACTTAGATAAGTAGCACACCAGCAGCTTGCCGGTTTGTGGTGAAGGAGATGCCACTTTGAGGCAGCCTTCTTCCAAACATTTTGGGGCTTTTATCTTCTATAGGCTTGACTAATGTCAGGCTGCCTTTTTTTTTTTTTTGGTGTTGGTCTGGGGTGGGTTTTTTTGGTTTTTTGTCCCCTGACTTAAGATAGACTTGTCATTCCATGGAAGCTCAACCCTCTTCCTGAATTGATCTTCTCATCAACTTTAAAATGATTCTACATGTAGCTGATACGAAGAGGGTGAAGAGTGCTACAGTATGATCTGGAAGTGCCCAAACTCAGTCCCTTTTGTGCAGCAGGGTGATTCCTTGATCTGTCATGAGCTGGTCAGTTAGGCCAGTGTAAGCTCAAGAGAAGGGGTGGGAACAGGCAGCTGCAGCCGAGCCTGTTTGTGTCAGAAGTAGTTTTGAATTATGCAGGTCAGTGTTTGTGAAACCAAGGCCTTGCAGTGTGGCTTGGCAGCGTAGCTGCTGCTGAAAGGGTGGTCCTACCCTCCACAGTTGGCTGAGTTTGGGGTTTTTTCACTTTTGTCTTTGTTGGCTGATTGATTAGCTGGTTCAGGATACTCAACTGGCAAAAAAGGCACTGTTTTGTGGGGATAGTGCTTTGTTCATTTGGCTTTTAGTTTCTTTGGGGTTTGTTGTTGTTTCTCCTGAGATTAGCTCTCTGAACTGGTTAATCTGAGCCACAGATGCCAGTGGTAGCGTGAAGGAGAGAACAGGAGTGCATGCGAAGCAGACATGGAACTGTGCATTTTGACAGAAAGTGAGTATTAGGTCAGCTTAGCTGTACTGTCAAACTGTTCCCTGGGGCTTCAAATTTAGCAGCTGTTTCTCATAGAACGATAACTTCAGTCTTCACAGATGCATTTTTACTTTCCCTCCCCACCCATTGATTTATTTTGAGCCTACTTTCTGAAAGAAATGGCCCTTTGATAACTCTGGAACACTGCTAGCCAGTTCCATTCAAACCTTCTGGGAGGTAGAACTTTCCTAATATTTTGAAGCTTTCTGGGACAGGGAGACTTGAGAGAACTCTTTCTGATCCGTTTATCTTATCAACTGCTGAAATATTGCGCTGTGGTAATATGAAAAAGCCACAGTGAAAACTTGGGTCGTGTTTTATTGGAATAAGCACAGTAAATTCCTATACTGAGATAGCAGAACTCACATGTTTAGGTGGCAATTAGATGTGTAATCACACCATTCCTTTACTTTTAGCTTTGGGGTGGAATTCAGAGGTGGCTGAGTGTTCATAAATGAAAGTATAGGTTGGTCGATACTCCATTTGGAAAGTGAAAAGACTGTAACATTTACAGTCTTAATCTCACCCTGAAGAGGTATGTACAGTTCTGAAAAACCTGTATCTGTCAGTTAAAAACACCTTTTATAAAGGTACTGGATCCCAATTTATCTTGAATGATACGTCAAAACACATCTTTTAGTTCAAGTAAAGGCTCTCCAAATCAGTCTTCCATTTTCTGTTCTCTAGAAATATCCCTAAACTTGACTGATAGCTTATTAATGCTGGAATTATAGGAATGCCAATGAAAAAAAAAGTATATCTGTGAGAATAACAGATTTGTATGGGGAAGAAACTGAATTAAAAAAAGAAATCCATAATACTGATACTGGTTTCTGCACACATGCTTCTGAAAGTAGTCTAGTATCAAAAGCTAGAGGCCTCCCATACACCTTTTCTTTCCCAAGAAGTGAAAATAAAACTGTCATTCCCAGGAAACCTTTATGTTTCTTTGGGTAGGAGAGCGAGGACCAGTGATAAGGAGCAAATACACTGGGATGGGTTTTGGTGTTTTGGGTTTTTTGGGGTTTGTGGTGGTGTTTTGGGTTTGTTTTTTTTCCCCTGAGCTCCATAATACTAGGATTATTTACTGAATATACAAAGCAAGGAGCTTGTTTTAACTAAGTGATCCCTGAGCTTTTGGCAAAGGTGAAATGGATTTTTAGTGACTATCTAAAAACGTCTGTCTTGTTTCTGACATGCAGATTTTTTTCTTGAGAAAAATGGCTTTTCAGTTTGTAACCACTTGATTTGGTTATGTAGTGCTCTCTAGTGACTTTACACTGAGGCTTTTTGCATATGTTACAACTAATTAGACCTTCGCCAGGACCCAGAAGACGTCAGTCTGCTCAGTGCAGTGATTGCAGAGGCCACAATAATCGTGGAAGTGCAGCTGTCAGAGGCCCTCACCGTCCATCCTCTCGAAATCCCAGTGATAAAGGGAAGGCGGTCCGCAGCCGGGAAAAGAAGGATCAGCAAAACAAAGGAAAAGAGGAAAAGGTAAGCTTGCCCATAACTTCATGAAGTTGAGAAACTCAGTCTTGCTTTCTTGAGTGTATTATACGATTAGATGCCTAAAAGTATCTCTGCTTTATGGACAGTCTTGGTTACAGAGTAATTAAAAACAAAGCAAACAAAACCCCAAACAAGCCCTCACCTGGAGGAAGTGATCTGGTAAATGTGGGCTTGTTTACTGCAATTTGGAGTGTGCTGGATTCAGCCAGGAAAGGGTTAACTCTCTTTACCATGGCTGCTAGGAAGCTGTGTTCCTGGATGCAGGGAGCAGCACTGATGGGTTCTTAGCTGGCACGGGGGAATACCTGTACCAGTTTCAAG